TGTGTTTGGGAGGACCATTTTCAATACTTAGGCCAGAGCCCAAGTCCCCCTACAGTAAATTCTTTAAATAGTTTCTTAAAATTGGCCATGATCACTGTCTTCTAGATCTTTTCCAATTCATCATCATACTATTTTACACTACTAATGTGTGCATTTGAGATACAGATTGTTTAATATAGTAAAAAGGAGAACAATAATTACCTTGATTTCAGAAACTTCCTGTTACATTTTATCATGTTATAACATATTACATAAGGGATTTTGTTTGGATGGATAGTTTGTTACAGAAACATTTACTTTCATGTATATGTATATGTAATTTTAATTTGGATTAACAGCTTAATACTTATATGATCATTCACTGAAAGCTGTGATCATTGCAGGACACATTGGATAATTTTAATAAAGATGAATTGGAGGTTAAAGATGTCATAAGCATTGACAGCAGACAACATTCACTTGGAGAATCATCTCTTGAGGGCAGTAGAAGTTTCACTTCACAGACTGACAGTCGTTCATATCGAGATCGTCTAAGGGATCGATTTCAAGCTGTGCGGGTGAGCTGGTGCTTCAGTATGAGTGATCATTTATTTTTCATAAATGTCAAGGTTTGAAATTAATTTGTATTTTTTTATGCAGGAACGTGCCGGGACTTCAGTCATTGAAACACACACTCGTTCACGCCTGAGACATAGACTTTTGAATCAGCCCAGTGTTTCACATTTTGATAATCTTGTAAGAATAACTTTGATGTTTTATTAGTAAGAAGTGTTTTCTTCGATAGCATTTAGTCTCAGTGCAGTGGTTAGCACTCCTGTTGTATATTCAGAAAATACTGGTATTAAGTATCGACTGCCCAGCAGCTAAGGTCTTTAGTTGTTTTTGTCAGTTGTTCCAAAGTAATTTCCTTGTACATCCTTCCAAGTTCATTAATCATAAGTTTCCTATGATTTGTTGCTGTGCAACCAAAAACTAAGGAACAAAATTTATAGCATAATTATACCAGTTTTTAGAGTGTCGAAAATGCCAGTTTGTAACATTTTTTGGCAGAAGGCTATTTTATGTTGTAGGACATCTTGCTAGCATGCTTAAAAATTATTCCACGAAGGTTTAAATACTACTGCAGAAAAGGTATTTCATAGTTCAGTACAATTATTTCCAGAATTTATTATTTACATTTGTTACATTAATATAACATTTTCTGAAGTTTTACTGAAAGAGTGGATTCATAAAATTTTCATCTAGAATCACACGATGAAATTCTTTGACTGTGATCAACATGTATTTGTACTGGTAGGTAGAAGATTAGTTCATGATTAATCTTTTCATTTATTTTGAGTATAAAATATATGTGTGTTGTATGTGTAATTTATTTCAGATTCAGAAAGAGGAAGTTGAAGTTGGAGAGGCACTGGAGAGGCATGAACAGGCAAAGGCAAAGTGGAAGGAAGTTATCGAGGCTGTGCAAGAGGTATTGTGTTGTAATATCCATAATTTGCACAATAACTGGATTTCAGGCCTGCACTACGTAGCATGTAACAACTGTACTGAAAAATGGATGCTTTAAACAAGTTTTGATAAATAAAATACTAACACGTACATTTTGATTATCGTAAACACGAACATTTCAATCCACAATTTGTTCTTTCAGTTCTTGAAGTTTTTCCTCTTCTGTGTTTTTCCCAGTTTTGTACTCCGGAACAATCATCCAGACTATTTGCTCAAATTCCTTCTATCATATTAGGGTAATTACCTTGTACACTCTGTGCTTTTTATCTGTCCATTCCTGTTTTTGTTCCGTGAAGTAACTGCCTTGACCATCCATGTTCTCCCCTTCTTTTTACCACTGTTCATACCAATGAAACATGTTACAAAAAAATTTCTTTTACCAAATGTTAATTATTTACTGAAATATCTTTGGTCCGACACACTTCTGGGACAGAAAGCAGCCCAGTATAATTAAAATGACGTAGTCAAGTTCCTTGCCATCTGGTGAAACCCTTGAAGTTTGGCTTTTTCATATTTGTACAATTTTAAAAAAAAGGTATTAAGAACAGATTATGAAGATTTCCGTCTTCTGAGTTGTTGCGCTGTGTAGTCTGGTCGATGTTAACCAACGTTTCAGAGGTCATACTGCCTCCGTCATCAGGGCGATGAATATATGATATGTTGATGAATAGATAAGAACTGATTTCAGTCTGTTTTAAGGTACTTTCCAGGTGTGGAGAGACTGGAGAAGACATTCGAGCTGAGTGTCGACTGTCATTAAAACTTGTTACCTCCTAAATCTCTTAACTACACAAACTTGCTTTGGAAATCTGTGATACAGAATGTCATTTTCTTAATACTTTTTTTTAAAGCATCCTTGAAATTGAGACCCACATTTGCCACTTCTAGAAACATTTTTGGAAGTTCTTTGTGCTAGCTATGGTATTGCATGGTAGATGCTACGCTGTGCCTGAGCATGTTGCCGGTACCTGCATGTTGTAGTCTACAAAACTGAAAATCTGCTTGGTCTTCTGTGTGCTACAGTGTTATTAATTTTAGTAGTATTGACCATGGGAATTATTTAGTGTTGCATTTTAATTAAATTAAAAATTAATAGCTTTTATCAAGTATCATGATATTTGCTTGTGGCGAATTGGCTCTGAAGGTAAAGGTAAAGTTGTCTCTTCTGTCCTAAGTACGATGCCTTTGAGTGCAGTTACAAACTCAATTCTTTGTCTTCATACGAGTACTATATTTGGGTGCTCTTCATGCGTTGACTGCTTCGCTGCTGAGTAGGCGCTGGAGCCGGTGGTAAAGAGGAAGTTCTTGTTCATGCTGGTTTTCATACTCTGGTTAGCCAACCTGTAGCCAATCATTTTGGCAACGGAGCTATCTCGGATCACAGAAACACGTGTTTCAATAATTGGGCTTAATTCTTTCCACTTTATGATGGAATGTTTCTTATCAGACGAGAATAAAATTATTTGACATGCAAATAATAAATGTCGAAGCTGGATATTTTCCGCTATTGTTCTTATTTTCAATTTTTATTTTACAGATTAGTGGTAAGATTTTTTAGTTGCACTCTGTATTCTTATCAACAATAAAGGTTGATTTCTGTTTAATTTGATGTTACTGCAGGAACCATGTAGCTCAGTTAATGGATTGTCTGGCTACAGGCTGATCAACCAGCTGAAATGCATGTTGAAACCAGATAGGCAGAAGCTGTTACACCACATTTTACTGTGTTCTCCAAGATCCACTTTAATATTATCCTACAGTTTACGTTCAACGTATTAAAGCTGGTTGCAGTTGCAGTGTGTAGTGAAGGGCTAGGTCACAGAATACAGCAGGATACTAAGTATAGCTGGAGAGAGAGAAAGGCAAACCAAATAAATGTTGTAGCATGTGGTGCTTGTCTCTATTTTTGTTTTGTCAGACTGTTTGAGACTCATCTTGTGTGTCAGTGATGCACTGTGAAGTGCAGAGATTTTTTTTCACATTATATAATTACGAGAAAATCTAATTTGAGAAATTCTTACTACCATTACTAGGCTACCAGGTTTATGCTAGGCCCAGAAACTGGCTGTTGTAAGGGGTTTTGTGGTTTTACTAAGTCCCTCAAATCAGATGATGCTTTAAAATAGGCAACGAATCAAACCTCCCCCATCCTTATCATTCGCATTTCATAATCAGCCTTTTGTTTGTCGCTGTATAACGTGCATTTGAGAACCAACTATGGAGGTCCAGCAGACCACGTGTGAACCTCGGTCCGTGGGTTGCAACACTGTTATGTTACATAAATATAACCTATGCAAATGTAGTGTTTTCAGCGCGTTCATAAGGCCGTGCCATAGCCCAGATGGCCAGACATTGTTTTCTCAGTGTGGAGACCCGAGCTAAATCTCGGGTGTCTAGAGGTAGGATCTTTGATGGTCGAAGTGGAAATGGAGCAGGTTTTTCTCCGAGTTCCTCTGCTAATTGCCATTCTGTCATTACAGCCCTGCGAAGTGTGCGAGAACATCATTGTACCTTAGGTCTTAACGTCCTGTGTCTTTATTCCTGACCTTGTATTTGGTAGGTCTTGGAGTATTGGTAGTTTAGTTTTATAAATGTAGGCATTTCATCACGAGAACTTTCTTTTGTACGAAATTTGATATGAGAAATTTTGTAGACTGGGAGTTATCGGGCTAATTTATTTTTTGTCCGTATTGGTTTAGCATATCCCTTTCTGTACGCGAACATCGATTTCCAAAACATCACCTTATCACACAAGAAGTTGTACATAACATGAAATACAGAACACGCGAAGACGTATAATATTTATTTGGCCTTGCCTGCGAGTGTGTTGTACGTACTACGTTGTATAACAAAGTCGAAATAATTATTTAGCGAACTTATAAGAGGGAATCAAGTCTTTGTGTTTGGAGATACAGCCTACAGTATGAGGCCAAAGAACGCATTTGGATGCCCATGTATATTGCAGTGGAACACATCGTTCTTTGAATTACTCGCACGCATTGAACCAGTACATCTCTGGTGAGATATGGGGAAGCATGCAAGATGTTGGCATCACCTGTGTTGCGACAGAGGAACTCCGTATGTGCCGCCCCAAGGTTCTGATCATCACAGTGCTGAAAATAAACGTGCTTGTTCGGAATGACTGACAGCAACTGATGATACGCCCCCTTAGATGCGGCCGCACTGTGAAATAATTTCTCGTAACACCTTTTTTCGATATAGAAAATGTCATATTAGGTTTTACTTAATTATTTCGGTCACATAACGCACAGTAGTGCGGGTTAAGACACTGACGGAGCAGAAAGAGAGAGAAGTAGATGATGATGAAGAAGGAAGAGGAGAAGAAGAAATAGACGTAGAGGAAGGAGAGAAAAGATTAAGAAGAGGAGAAGAAAGAGCAGATGAAATGAAGGAAAATAACACGGAAAGGATGAAAGAGGAAGACAAGAAGGCGGCAAAGAAGACGTATGGGAAGTAGAATGAGGAGACATAAAGAAAAGAAGACGTGAAGAATGAGAAGAAGGCAAGAAATGAAGTAAAATAATTTTTATGGCGTCTCTATACCTGTACCGCTGAGGGAAAAAAAACACTCTCAATCAAAACTGACTTCTCCGTGACGGTACCTCGTGGACCAAGTTCTGTCTGCGAACGAAGGGTTGTGAACCTTCGGAGAATTTTGTTTGTTCTGTGCACTCAGATGACCTACTTCATAATTCATACCTTTCGCCGATATTATGATAATTCAATCTAGGAGCATGATATGAGCGGGGCATAAGTCACCCACGGGATAAGTGGGAAATGCGTACAAATTTTTTATCGGGAAATCTGAATGGAATGACTGGGGATTGATGGAGGAAAATCTTCAAATGGAAAAAGAAAGGGGAATAGTGTTAAGATGAGTGGATTAGGAGGGTCCATTGGCGGGGTTTTGTGAACGCGGTAATTGAGAAGGTCAGTAGATTGCCGGTGACGGGTTTCGCTCCACAACCCTGTTTAAAGGAACAAAGGCGTAGGCCTCGTTGCCTGTGTCTGTGTTGCAACAGCTGTAGGGGCAGTTGGCTGCCGCCTGTAAGGTGTGTTCAGTTTCCTTACTTCCTTCCTTCCCGCCCCCCGTCGATTATCTTCAAAACACCTTTCGTATTTCGTTATCCCTCGGTGAATTTCTTTCTTGTATATTTCTCCTTCGTTGATCTTTATCCTTAGTTCTTGTGCTGTTAACCATCTAGCGTGCAATGTAATTCGTTTAGGGTCTGGGTAACACGCATCATATCCGAGATCACAGCTTTCAAACGTTTGCTGTACGATGTTACATCTCTGGGCTTTCGCAGTCTTGTTAATTCATTGCAGGTGTAAATCGACTTTTGACATCCCTAATGAAGAAAAAGCAGCTATACTTTGCTGTATAAAATGTGTGTGACATGTGTAGACCTATAATAGGAAGGTCTATTTAGAAAATTCGTTTACTTGAGTATAAATTACTCGAAGGATGTTAAATAAGGGAAGAGAAATGGGTTTATATGAATTCGACAGAGTCCATGTATGGACGTTTGTGACTCCGGTGATGAACTTGCGGATTCATTATCTGTAATGATCTGCCTCGCCTGAGTTACAATTACCTGTTTAAGGTAGATTATACTGTGGAGTTAATTTGTTTGAGCCTCGTGATTTAAAACGGTTGTGTTCGTAAGCGATGGTGGTGTAATGGTGAGCATAGTTGCCTTCCAAGCAGTTGATCCGGGTTCGATTCCCGGCCATCGCAGTTTTTTTTTCACTGTAGCTATTGGTATCAAAAATATTAAATTCGTCAATCGTGCCACAAACTACGCAGACTAGCTTCGGGAATCTGACATCTTTAATTTTAACCAAAGTGCATTTATTTGTATCATATGATTCCCAGCGATCATTTCCCTAAACAGCGTTTAGTATTTAGTTTTTACCTCAAAGAAAATATGTTTACAAATC